CGCACGCGCGCGCACGTGTGCGCACGTGTGCGCACGTGTGCGCACGTGCGCGCACGCGGCACTACGCCGCACTACGCCGCACTACGCCGCACAGTGTGGCGCTGTGTGGCACTTCCGGCAGGTTGCTGTGAGAGAAGCATGTGTTACCCCCTACACAGCCTTTTACACACATTTAATCACCATCAAGACCCAAGAGCATCTCTTTGACCTCCTCTAGGTCACACCTGTCTGGGCATGACTTAGGGCCAGCTCGCGACCCCTTTTTCCGCCATGCAACAGTGGGTTCGTCCAAGTCCATGACTTCATCCCACCCATCAGCCGGGTAGAAGATACGCATCTGCTGGTCTGGAACTCCCGGCACAAGCTGCACGACAATGCCTGGTTGCCAAGTCCCGGTGTCATCAGTGTGGTCGTCCTCATCCCACCACACAACCTGGACATGCCAGCCGACGATGTTCTGCGCATCATTAGTTGTCTGCCGTAACCCGGCTGTCCCCAATACATAGCCAGCACGGTCGTTTGTAAATGACGGTGTTTTTCTGTGTGTGTGTTTTCTTGAAGCCTTTCTTAAACTGGGTAACGAACCCCTGTCACTCCGTGAAGTGAACAGAAGAGAGGTGTGAACAGACTGGCGTGCTGATCGTGAAGAGGCGCCATGTCATCGGACACCGAGAGCACGGTCTGCGACCCGCGGTTAGAGGTCGCACCCGAGCCGCAAGTCCCCAAGGGGCCGGGCCAGATAAGGCGCGTGCCCCAGCTGTTCACAGCAACAGCACGGTCTACCCCCGTCGTCCCACCCCAAGTGCAGCAGGGCAGGATCACCCACACAGGATCACCGAGAGCTGCAAATTCTTTTGGATCCGTTCCTCGCGAAAATTCTTTGGGGGGCCTTGAGAGGTGACCTGGCTGGCCGGTCCGCCGCTCTCCACGCGCTGCTTGTGCGCAGCGTGCGCCGTTCTGCACTCGGGCACACCACCGCTCTACTCTCCGCTCTCCTCCAGCCGCACAGAGCCCAACCAGACCCCCCGACGGTCGGCGTTGAGCGTCGTTGAGCAGTGCCACGAGAGGCAGCAGCGTCTCGCCCGTGTGCCACAGCCGCGTGTGAGTTGCGATGGGAGCCAGCTAGCCTCCCGACCGGCCTCCCGCGCACACTCGCACTTGGCAGCCTCGAGCCTCACCGCGCCCGCTGCACACTGCCTCAGGCACCTTGGCTCCCGCCACCACGCCGCCGCTCCAGTGCTCCTGCCACCGCCGCAGCCCTCCGCGTCGCGTTTCCGCCACCCTTTGACCGAGGCCGTGCGCTAGGCAGGCGTGCAGCTACAGGTGCGCGGCGGCGCGCGGCGCACCACCGCCGCGCTCTCACTCCTCATCCCGGCCAGCTCTCCCCTCTTTCAGTCCCGCTGCTCCCCCGTCACCTCGCGATATCTCCCTCCCTCCCTCCCTCCCTCTCTCGGAGCCTCTCGGCAGGCCTCCGTCCCTCCCCCCCCCGCCCCCCTTCCTCCGCCGACCGCGCACCGCGCCATCCCCGCCGCCGTCGGCCTCACACCAGGTCTCATCGGCGCTCTCTGCCGTAGGCCGCGCAGCCCGCTGCACTCGTCGCTCGTGCGTCAGGCGCGGCCGCGGCGCTCTCGCTTCTGCTGAGGCGCGCTAGCTGCTCGCCTCGCCGCTCTCCCCCTTCTCTCGCACCTCTCTCTGCACTCCTCGGCGGCAGCCCCGCAGGCTCGGGTCGCTGCAACCTCGAGTCGGGTTGGAGCGGATGGGCGGCGCGGGGGCCAGCGTCGGCGGCGCCGCCCCGCCGCCGCCTCAACTCCATTTCCTCCGTCGCTGTCTACATCTTTCGACGGCATGCGCCGCCTAGCAGGGCGCGTCCAGAGCAGCTCGGGCGGCGCTGCTGCGGCGGGGGCGGATGGCGCGGTCGCCGCGCCGCTCATCGGTGAGCCGGCGCTCCCGCGCGGCGCTCCGGCGGCCGGCGGCGTGTTTCGCCGCTGCGGAGGGCGTTGTCGTCGCGAGGGGCGGGCCCACGGCGGCGGAGGCGCTGCGCTGACGGCCGCTGACGGCGGCGGTGAGGGCCCAAGCGCCGGCCGAAGAAGCGTTGCCGCGATTGCCGTGGCGTGCCGCCTGGCGGGCCCGGCGAGCGGTCCCCGCCGGTCGGGGCTGCCAGCGCTGCACGGTGCGAGCCGCAAATCCCGCCCCCCGCCACCTCTCGCCCCTCCCCCAGCCCTCTCCCTCGGCCCCGCCTCTCGCCCCGCCCGGGACTCTCCCCACGCCGCCTCTCCGCCACCCGCCAGCCATCCCCGCCCCCGCCACCCTGGCCCCAGCGCGCACGCACCCGCACGCGTCCCTGCCGCAGACTGGCGCGGCGACAAGGTGATCGAGGCTGAGCATATGCACTGGAGGCGACGGCCTCGACTTGCGCGCGATCGGCGCCTCGCTCCTCTCGGCTCGGCAACTATACGCGGCGCGCCAGCGTCGGCCTGGTCAAGGCTGCCCCGCACACACCCCTCTCGCCGTCGCCTCCTCCCTCCTTCCCCCGCCCTCCCCCTCCGCCCCCCTCCCCCTCTCCCGCGCGGCGCAGCGTCCCCCCTCCCCCCGCAGCCCTCACGCCCCTCTCCTCTCCGCGCGGTCACCGTCACCGCCACCGTCACCGTCTCACCGTCTCACCGTCTCGCCTCTCCCCCTGCCCCTCTCCCCGCAGGCCGCTGCACGGCGCTCGCCAGCGGCGCCGCGACGCGAGCGCTCTCGCCCCTCCCCCCCCCTCCACCGCTAGGGCGGATGACGCCCCGCGCTGCTTCCACCCCCCCGCCGCCGAGGCTCATGGCGGCGCCTCGAGAGAGCCGCCGCGCGGTGCGGTCGCCATTCCGGTGCAGTGGGCCGGGCGCCGGTCTCCGGAGCCGGGGGGCCGCCCGTGGGGTGAGGAGGGCGGAGGGGCGCGGCGGGGCCGCCCAGCGGTGGGACACCGCCTTCGCCGCCCTCACCGCCACCCCCCTCGCCGCTGCCACCGCCGCGTGCGGGTGAGGGGTGTGGCGGCGAGAGAGAGATTTTTCATAACGCTCGACCTCGAGATTTTTTCCTTTGCCCCACAACAAAAACCGAGTCTTCTTTCGCGCCAACTTTTTCTTTGTTGCCCGGTCGTAAAACGCGCGCTCGCGCGCAACTCATACTTTAGTTATTATACGGGATCCTCGCTTTTTTTGGATTTTTCGATTTGCCGACCCGGCCGGGAGTTGTGTCGTTGTAGAGCTGCTGCGATGCGGCCTGTCTTCCAGCTGGATCCGACCAACACTCTATCATATGCGCCGGATCCAACTCCGTACTGGGCCCACAATCCAAGCTCAGCTTCTCTCGCGGACCCGCTCAAGCTTTGGCCACACGAATACGACAGCGCAAGCGAGAATCGCCGCTGGGAAGACGCCTTGTCGTGGGAGGATGTGGCAGGATTCCACCGCAGCCTCAAGGATTGCACATCATACGAACCTTGTGCGGTCAATTATGCATTCTGTGCCATGTATGATTACATCCCGTGCTACTACGAGAAAGACACAAAGGTGCTTCTGTTCGATGTCAACGACAGCCCGGATGCAAGCGCTGCCCACCAGCGCAAGAAGCGGAACTTTCTTGCAGCCATGCACTATGCAGTGGGATATCCTACTCAGCACGAAATGAAGAACATTGGCATCAGCTATGGCACATTCTCAGAGCAGGTCCGGCCGACAATCTATTCCCTCGCACGGCACGTGAACTTCCTCGATCCGGCACTGCGACTGTGGGAGTACAACCACACTGAGTTCCATCACGAGCGTGTGCTGTGGATCAAAGATGGTGCTCCTTTGACAATTTGCTGCCCCAAAAATCGCTTTCTCCAGCGGTGTGTGAGATCAGGCAAGTACAAGGAGTACGTGCTAAAGTTTGACTATACAATCACCATGTGCGGTTTCCCAATCGATTACAATGGGCTCTTCATGGGTGTCCGGCATGATTCGGCACAGCATTGGTACGCGAAGGAGTTCCTAGCTCAGCTATACCCTTTTGAATATGGTATGGGTGACAAGGCGTACGTCGGAGTTCCCCACATGTATTGTGAGCACAAGAAGCCAACGGGCGGTGAGCTGACATGTGAGGAGTCGATGGACAACCTGTTCATTCAGCACTACCGTGGACGCAATGAGCACCTAATTAGGGAGATGCGTTCACGGAAGAAATGTTTTGCAACCGCATGGCGGGGCTCTTTTTCGCTCCTGTCCGCCATCACACGCTTTGCCGCGCACATGACAGGGCTTCAGGAGCGCATGAAGGGACCGCGGTATGACGTGTATGGCCCCTGGCCAGTGTGTAGCGAAAAAGTTTTCCGGTTGTATGGTAAGACCGCCTAAGTGAGCGTTATCCTGTCCCCTGCTGCCCCATTACTATCGAAATCAATACAGCGCGCGCCGGCGGACCGTTCTCGTCACTCGTGATGCGGAAGATGCGGCGGTGCAAGCCCAGCGCCCGCCCATGTCCCGCCCACGTGCCCGCGCCGCGCCTGCCCGCGCCCACGCCGCGCCCCGCCCGCGCCCGCCCGCGCGCGCCCGCGCCTCGGGCACTTGCCTGCGCCTGCACGCCCGCGACGCCCGCGGACGCCCGCGCAGACGCCCGCACGCACGCCCACGCCCGCGCACGCCCGGGCATGCCCGCGCACGCCCGCGCACGCCCGCGCACGCCCGCGCACGCCCGCGCACGCCCGCGCGCACGCCGCAATGAGCGGCACTGCGTGGAACTGTGTGGAGCTTCGCCGGTCTGAGCAGGGTACCTGGGCGTTTTGAAATTCCGTGCAAGGGGGTGCCGAGGTATGCCGCACGCCGGGATGGAGTGAGATCTTGTGGGGCAGGGCGTGGGCTAGCGCGCGAGGGCGCAGGCAAGTGCCCGAGGGTATGGGGGTGGGCGCCACCCTGGGGCTACCCGTAGCATCGTCGGCTCAGTGATGGGTATCCTTGATCAAGCTCTTTGTCGACAAACCTGTGCCCGAGCTCCTCCTGCTCGACTGTGCGGCGGAACCGGGCCCTGGATGATGAGTTGTGAGGCGCCGGCACCGGGGCTACAACGCGGGGCCATCTCCAGGCTGTATCGGGCAACCTCAAAATTGGCGCTTCTCTCTGCTGCTGCTGCTGCTGCTGGTGCTGCTGGTGCTGGTGCAGATGCTGCTGCTGTGGTGCGGCTCGGCTCTCCGACTCGACTCGCGGCGGGCGTCGCGGGCATCTGACGCGGCGGGCGGCGTCGCGGGCGGCAGCGATCGCGGCTCGACGGTGGAGGTGGAGGCTGGAGGCAGTGGTGGACCTTTGAGTTTATTTAATGGTCGAGTACGAGGACTGGGGGGTCAACCGGGAGGCAGGGGGTCAACCAGGCGACGGAGGACCGTGGGCCATCGCGGGGACTCTCTGCTGCGTACGGAGGGCGCAGCAGGCAGATCCGGATGGTCTCACGCCGGTGGGTGGCACCGAGGCGTCTTGGACGCTCAGCTCTACCTTAGCTCCTGAGGGGCGCGTGGTTGTAACCACGTAGTAGGACTACAGCCCACCACAGACACCCTCCCCACTCCTCACGTGTGCACACTCCCTCACCCTCTCCTCTCTCCTCTCTCTCTCTCTCTCTCCTCTCTCCTCTCCTTGTCTGTGCTGTCTGCCTGACTCAGGCACTAATTCTGCCGATCCGATGCGTGATTGTGTGGGCTGCTCCGAGGGGGGCCTGTGCGATCCGATGGAGTCTGTGCCCGGGCGGTGTCCGGTGTGGAGTCTCTCTCTGATCCCACCTGTGATGTTGGGTGTGAGGTTGTGGCGGCTTCGATCCCAAGGGGGGGAGCTGATCCCACTCATAACCAACTCTCAGGGGCAGTAGGTGGGCGAGCCTCGAGAGCGCGCTCTGTCATCTCGATCGTCAAGGCGTCGCTACGCGCGGTCTTCCGCGGGGGGAGCTTCGTCGACGGGTGCGGGATCGCGGCGCAGTCAGTGCCGTGGCGATGCCTCCGGCTGTTTGCGGCGGGCGGCTTGCTGCTCGCGGCGATTGGCGAAAAACTCGTCTCGCTGCACACCAAGGGCTTATGCTCTGGCGAGATGTGAGGCGCATGCGCCAGGAGGGGAGGGCGCATGCGTAACGACGCTGCTAGAGATGCCTTTCGGGGCCCAGAGATAAAACTTCTGATGCCATGCATGACCTAGTAGTGTCCCCAGCTATGGGCGTGTCCACGTTGGAGCCAGGTGTGGTGTGGGCGCGAGAGAATAGCTCCGCCGTTAATATGGAGGCAACCGATGCGAGTCGACTGGTGTGTGTCGTCGTGGTTTCGTATCAAGAATACTGACTCACACTCACAAACCCAATGGTCCCTTGCGAGCGGTCCTTCGTTGCAGTCGCACACACGCACACGCCGCGCCGCACCGCGCGCCCGCCCACCGCCCCGCCCACAGGCGGGAAAGAGATGAGGAGATGGGACAGCAAAGGAGGAGAGCACAAACACGTATGGGAGGGTTCATTCAGTTGTGCGCCACGCTGCCCGGCGTTTCTCACTTTCCGGGACAGCCCCGCCCTTTTGAGGCAAGCGCCGGCCCAGAGGAAAGAACGGAAATCGGAATCCTCCACCACCGCGGCGAGACTCAAAAACAACATCATGAACGCCTATGCACACAGATTGACACATCCAGACGACTCCCGCGCTGCCTTTTGAGCGGTGTGCCCCTGCTCCCAACTGATCATCCCCTCTTGGTCTTCTTGCCCCGGGCCTTGCCGCCAACGCCGCCCCGCCCTGCCTTCTTTGTGGCGTTGTGATGAGCTGGCCCCGATTCCTCATCGTCGCCCGACAAATTAGAGAGGAATTCCATTTTCTCGTCCCCGTCCTCATCGTCACCCTTACCCTTGCCGCCGCCCTTCCCCTTGCCACCCTTGCCCTTTCCCTTGCCTTTGCCCTTTCCCTTTCCGGCCTCTTCCTCAGCGCCTTTTGCCGGCTCGCCACCACCCTTCGCCGCGCCGCCCTCCTTTCCTCCCTTCCCCCATCCCTCCTCGTCGTCGCTAGAGCCGACTGGCAGTGGAGACTTGCCTTTCGCACTCACCGTCCCATCGCTCTTCACGCTGATCCTGCCCAGGAGCGCGTCCAGCTTTGTGTGGTGTCGACGGATCTCTTTTACCGAAGATTGCCTAACCTCCTTCGCCTCCTCGATCAGCGCCCGGATGCTTTGATTTCCCGCCGACACCTTGTCAGCTATGCGGCCGATTCGCTTCTCCATCCGGTCCAGCCTGTTGGCCTGAGACTCGAGCGACTGCTTTGCGCCAATTCCAAAGTAGCAGGCTGCAGCTGCGCCGCAGCCCGCGAGAACCAATGCCGCAAAGGCGAGAAGGCAGGTGCAGGAGAAGCACGACCCAGTCGGCGGGGTCGCTTGCTTCGCGGCTGGCGCTGGCACGGCGGGCATGGGAGCGGCGCCCTAGAGCGTGCTTGGCGCGCAGTGAGTCACACTCCCAGCAAAACTAAAGAATTTGCACCGGGCTGGCACAACACTGGGATGGAGTCCGGCCGCGGGTGAGAGAGAGAGAGAGAGAGAGAGAGAGAGAGAGAGAGATGGGCGAGCTTCAAGCGCGCTCATCTCGATCGTCAAGGCGTCGCTACGCGCGGTCTTCCGCCGGGGGAGCTTCGTCGACGGGTGCGGGACCGCGGCGCAGACAGTGCTGCGGCGATGCCTCCGGCTGCTGCGGAGAGTGGCTTGCTGCTCGCTGCGATGGCGAAGAACTCGTCTCGTCACACGCCAAGGGCTTATGCTCTGTCGAGACGTGAGGCGTATGCGCCCAGGAGGGGAGGGCGCATGCGTAACGACGCTGCTAGAGATGCCTTTCGGGGCCCAGAGATAAAACTTCTGATGCCATGCGTGACCTAGTAGTGTCCCCAGCTATGGGCGTGTCCACGTTGGAGCCAGGTGTGGTGTGGACGCGAGAATAGCTCCGCCGTTCATGGAGGCAACCGATGCGAGTCGACTGGTGTGTGTCGTCGTGGTTTCGTATCAAGAATTCTCTCTCTCTCTCTCCGCGGGTGACTTAGGCGTCGGGGTGGCGAGCAGGGGACGCAGCTCTGAGCGCCCAGCGACGCGTGCCGGATGGAGTCCGGCCGCGGGTGACTAGGGAAGTTCGCTCAGGATGTGTGGCAGTCAGTTTGGCTGAGTGTCTTGTCTTGTGGTTCTGTGTGTCGCTCCTAGGCACCTAGCCAAAGTCTCACTTTGGCACTGGTGCTTAGTTAGGCCTTGTTCACAGCTAAAGCCCAACTTTGGCACGGCCTGGTTCACAGCCAAAGTCCAACTTGGCACTACGGGCACATACGGAGCACGCGACAGTGTATCTTGCCGGCTCTGACTCTTGGTCTCTCTCTACTCTTCACGGACCACCCGGACGGTTTTGATTGTGGCCGAATCACCCCTGGTACCTTTAGTCCATGCGTGACACGCTTGATCTCCGACGATCTCCGACGTCACGCCTGGGTTCGGCTCCATTGTGCATGGGATCCCCCACCCCCAGGGAGGTGGAACCCAGCATGCACATGCCCTTCACGCGCTTCCGCGACGCGTACGCCCGAGCGCGGCAGCTCCAGCTGCTACCTCACCAGCTGCTGCGGCCAGAGAACTACCGCACCGGCGCTGCGCTGCAGGAGAAGCTCGACATCCTGCGCCTCTACCTGCTGACAGGCCTTCTGACGTCGCCGCTGCCACCGGCCGCAGCCACCACTGCAGCCAACACGTCCGCCACAACCGTCGCCGCCGTCGCACCTCTCGCCTCTCCGTCCCGTTCGCCATCGTCCTTCGTGCCGCCTGCCGCACCGCCGCCAGTACCGCCGTCGCCGCACATGCGCCTCGCCCACCGTTCACCGTTCACTCTCTCTCACCGCTCATCGCCCGCCTCTCACACTCATCGCCCGCCGCCGTCGCAGAGGCGCGCGCGTCGTGGCCGGACGTGCGCGTCCGCTCGCTCGATGACGTCGAGGACACGGCGCCGCGACTCCACCAGCAGGTGGCTATCAGACGCCGCCGCACCTCACCGCCATCGCCGCCCTCCTCCGCACCTTCGCAGCTGCCACTGCCACCGACACCTCCACTTCCACCGCTGCCACTGCCGCCGCCTTCGCCGCTGCCACCGCCATCGCATCCCCGCCGCCTACCGAATTCGACGCCGCCTCTCTAGGCCTCCTGCCGCCTCCTCCTCCGCAACTGCCGCCTCCTCCTCCGCCACTGCCGCCTCCTCCTCCGCCACTGCCGCCTCCTCCTCCGCCACTGCCGCCTCCTCCTCCGCCACTGTTGCCGCCCTTGTTCAGGCCGCCGCCGTCCAGTCCAACGCCGTCTCCCAGCTGGTCCGGCTGCTCGACGCCTGGCTCGAGGAGCGGCCGCCTCCGCTTCCGCCGGCACCGACGCTGCCAGCGGACGCGGGCGAGGCGCCGCATCTCCCGAGATTGGCCGAGATGACGCGAGAGTTCGCGAGAGTAGGCGCCGGGCCTGCCGGCAGACGCGGACGACGCGACCCGTGCGTCCCTCGACTCGCTACGTCGCGCGGTCTGCGAGGCGTACGCCGCCGACTCGCGCCGCGCGCAGCGGCGCGGCTTCGGCTTCAGCTTGCGGAGGGCGGCGTCTTCGGCGGGGCCGGGGTCTGGGAGCGTAGAAGCGGGTAGGACGCGTACTCCGCTGTGTCTTCCGCTGCATTCACTGTCTTCCTCTCCGGTGTACTCACGCGGTGCTCTGAGCACGCTGCACCATACCGTACTTCCCGCCCTCATGTCGGCGCACTCACAGCGTCTTCACAGCGTATTCACAGCGTATTCACAGCGCATTCACAGCGTATTCACAGCGCATTCACAGCGTATTCACAGCGTGTTCACAGCGTGTTCAAAGCGTGTTCACAGCGTGTTCAAGGCGTGTTCAAGGCGTAGGTCCGGGGCAGGCGTCTTCCTGGACGGCCACGCTCGGCTGGGCTCTGTCGTGGCGGCGTACCCAGGCGTGCTCTACTACCCGTCCGACCTGATTAATTAGTTAATTCGTTAATTAAGTACCCAGGCGTGCTCTACTACCCGTACGACCTGATGCGGCTGCAGGGCGGCGCCGCGCGCTTCGAGGGCAACGCGTGCCTCATGCTGCGGTACGACGGCACGCTCGTCGACGGCAGCGAGACTTCGCTGCGACTCGTCTCGCCGCAGGCGAGAGATGGCCGAGATCTAGCCGAGATCTAGCCGAGATCTAGCCGGGACGTCTCGTCCCGCCTGAGGCGATGAAACTGCACTCACACACACACACACACACACACACACACACACACACACACACACACACACACACACACACACACACACACCGCTCACACACACACACACACACACACACACACACACACACACACACACACACACACACACACCGCTCACACACACACACACACACACACCGCACACACACACACACACACACACACACACACACACACACACACACACACACACACACACACCGCTCACACACACACACACACACACACACACACACACACACACACACACACACACACACACACACACACACACACACACACACACACACACACACACACACATACACACACACACACACACACACACACACACACCACACACGCGCACACGCGCGCACGCGCACACACACACTCACAACCGCCCTCTCGCACGCCCACACGCACGCGCACGCGCGACGCGCAGACACACATAAGATAGATCGATGACGGGGAAAGGGTTGTGCTCTCCTCTCC